AGATGGTTAGCGAAAGAGAGGAAACTTCTCAGTGAGATGTGCTGTGTGTTGACAGTGACCGTAGCAGTGGTTTTAAGCATGGTGGAGATTGTGAAGATGGCACAGGATTGGGTGAGGTTTTGATGTGCTAAGCGGCCCCTAACAACAACATATAGAAGAGGGTAAGGCATGGATTCCAGACAGTAGTAGTTGTTGATCACTGCAGCTGAGTAGGAACCAACTCACAGCTGACCCTCCAGCAGGTTCACAGAGGCTGTAAATTGCCCATCTTTCTCCCACTGAGGTGGGTTTGAACTGAGTGTCTGCATGTCAGCAGTGCAATTCTTTACCACCAGGCTATCAGAGTAGTTGTACTATGCCTATAACTTGGAATGGGGTAATGGGGTCTAATAACAGCAGCTACTCCCCTGCCCCCAAGAGAGCTGAGGTGGTCCCCCCCTTCTTCTGCTCCTTGCCTTGAGGATGCCTTGGAGGTCTCATAAGGCACAATCCTCTGCCACAGTCAGCATGTTCAGGATACCACTCCATTGTATATATGAAACCCTGGCATTCTTTGGGTAACCGGCCTGCTGCGGAGGGGCAGCAGGTCAGTGGCGTAGGCACTATGGCCTCTGTTTATCCCCCCACCCGTGCTCAGAGGCTGCCAACTGCCAAATTCCTCCCCTGGAGCTGGTTACCTGGAATGACTCCAGAGAAGAAGACCTACTGAGCTGTTCATTCAAAGCTTCTTAGGCTCACCTCTGGTCCCCCCACCCTAGCTCTTTAGTGGGAGTGAGAGGACATGGGGGAGAAGGCAGCTCAGGTTGAGGGTGGGAGAAGTTGGTGCACCATAGTGCAAGAAGGCCTTTGAGCCTAAATTTTTATTCTTGGGCCAGGCCTGCCACGGGCCCCACAGAATAAACTCAGAAAAAGCCCCCGAAAATAAAACCTCAGGAAGCTGCTTGGGTTTTGGACCTGGGTCAGTAGGGCCCTCCTCAGATCGGGCCTCACCTTGATCCTCCTCAGTCCTTAGCATCAAGGCCACTTCTTCAGCACTCCCTGGACCTTATTGTGCCTCTCGCTCCAAGTTCCCCCATCCCTATCCCACTAAAGCCTCCCATTATAGACTGACCTGTGTCCCTCTGTGTCTTGGAGAAGGGGCAGCCAGAGTGCTCCTTGGAGCCAAAGATGATACAACTTCATCTCACACAATTTAGGCATGTTGCTAGGAGAGGCTATTCGTTGGAGGGGGACAGGATGTTTGGAAAGGTGGAGAAATTATGAAGGAGAGGGAGACCCTCAACCAGGTGGACTGACAGGGTGACTGCAGCGATGGGCTCTAGTGTGTCAGAAAGTGTGAGGATGGCACAGGGTAGGACAGGGTTCAGATCTGCTGTTCCTAGGGCCGCTATGAATCATGCTCGACTTGATGGCACCTAGCAACAACACCCATTGAACCCTCTACCCAGGAATGGAAAAATAGAGACAGTGAGAGAGAAAGATCTTCAAGGAGAGGGACTGACACAGTGACAGCACAAGCTTGGGAACAGCAGGGTCACAAGGATGGCACAGCCGAGGGCAAAGTTTCACTCTGTGGGTCATAGGGTCGCTATGAGTTGTAGCTGACTTGATACTTAATAGCCACACACCCATAGATGTAACAGAACACAGTGTTCACAGAACCAATGAGATGGATTGACATCTCACTGCGTGCTGCAATGGGCTTAAACATAACAATGATAACGAGAGCGTCAAAGGCCCAGGCAGCATTTTGTTCTATTGTCCATGAGGTCACTATGTGTCAGAAAGCTCTTAGCTTTACCTAACAACAATTACCACCACCGAGGAAGGAACTGACAGAGCTGAGACGGAGACCCTGATTTGGACTTTGAGCCTCAAAATCGACAAGAAAATGCAATGCTGTCCTTCAAAGTTACCCTTTTGTGTTTACAGCAGCTCTGGATAACTAAGATACCCTTACTCTGTCCATTCTGACCTGGGCCCATCAGGAAAATGGTAAATGTGCCATCCCATCTCCCCTACTCTCTTCTTTGAATGGGTCCCAGGTCAGGGGAGGACGTTCCCTGCAGTGTGGCAGAAAGATCCTGGCAGGCCTCTGACATGGGTTCAGTTTCCTGACTTGAAGTGAGACACTTTGCTTCTCTGAATCTTAGTTTCCAAATCTGTAAAATAGGAATTATGCTAGTGCTTGTGTCAAGGACAGGATATGAGACCTGACCAGGGCTGCCCCAGAGCCCACAGACCCAACAAGAGTCCCCCCGACACACTCACGTACCAGCACTGGGAAGCCCATGAGACAGTCATAGATGACGACAATGGTGGCCACGAGGCCTGTGATCTGCAGTGAGGTCTTGGTGGGCTCGGAGCCGTCGATGGATGAGCGGCGCTTGCCCTGGGCATCCTCTACCACGATGGTGGGCACGGTGAAGGCGCGGCGGTCCGCCCGCCGCCCCACCTGTACTGCCAGCGTCTGGAAGAGGGCAATGGCGGTGCAAACTACTCCCATGGCCACGCTGCCACCCACCAGCAACAGGAAGCAGACTCCGAAGCCCAGGCCAATCTCAGCCACAATGAAGCGGCAGCCGTGGGCGTAGAAGCGCTCACTTGTGTCGTGCCAGCCGACAGCAGGCAGGGCCGAAAGGATGAAGGACACCATCCAGATGCCCATGACTGTGTGCACCGCCTGCTTCTTGGCATTGCTCAGCCTGGCATGTGGGACAGAGGAGTTGGCATCACTCACAGGGTCTACCCAAGTCCCCTACAGACCCCTAGGCCCCAGGGTATCAGGCATAACAAACCAAACCACCATGGTGAGGGCTTGTCTCTGTACAGGATGTGCCTGTGCAAATCGCCACCTGACTCCCTCACCAAGCATGTCTGTAGTGGACACCAGCGTGCCCACATGTCTGCCTCCACGTGCATGTTCCAGAAGCCCTGACCAGTGCCTCCCGGCCTCCTGCCTGCCCTGGGCACACCTGGCCCCTCACTGAGGGTACCAGCTAGGACTTCACAGTCACACCCTCTCTGGGAACAGGCATGCTCACGCTGAAGTGGGTGCCCCATGTACGTGGGCTCCCGAGCTCACCGGTAGTTGACAGGCCAGCGGACCATCCACATGCGGTGGTAGGAGAGGGAGGTGACGGAGAAGCAGGTGGCCAGGGTGAGGGTGTAGAAGGTGGAGACGAAGACCTTGCAGAGGCCTTCGTTCCACTCGTAGTCGGGGTGCTGTCGCCGCAGCTGCACCACCGCGTAGGTGGCGATGGGCACTGCCACGTTGAGCATGTGGGTGGCCGCCAGCGTGCACAGCAGGAACTCCAGCGGCTTCCACTTCTTCTGCTTGGCCCCCACGCTGAGGATGCCCCAGGCGTTGGCCAGCAGGGAGAGGCCGCCGCACGCCAGCCAGCCCACTGCACTGCCAGGCAGCCGCCGCTCCTCACTCATGGTGCAGACGAGGCAGCAAGCCGGGTGGCTGGGGCATCCTCCTCCAGCTGAGCCTGGGCTCAAAGCAGCAGCCCTCCTGTGCAGAGACCCCAGGGCACCAGGGACCATGAGCATCTGTGGGGGGCGGGGCAACCAGAAAGTACTCAGTGACACTCGCTCTGGTCAAAGCTCTGGGGTCCATGCGGGGGGGGGGGGAGGGAGTGTCACCCTCTCACTTCCCGTCTGGTCCTGGCTCAGTCCAGGCTGCCCTGTCTTCCTTTTCACCTCCTGGGGGCTCGTGCCCATGTCCCTTGGCACCTAGGGCCTTGCAAGCCAAAGTCAAAACCCAAACCAGATGCCATGGAGTTGATCCCAACTGAAGTGTTACAGAAAAGCATTGAGTCCTGTATGGTTTTCTTGGCTCCATTCTTTACAAAGCAAATAACCAGGCCTTTGGTCTGTGGTACCCCTGGGTGGAACTGAACTGGCAATCTTTCAGATAGTAGGTCATTTGTGCCATTCAGGGACCTAAGCCTGTATACAGAGGTGTCCAATAAGTGCATGCTCCCACACGTGGGCCCACTGCTGGTCAACTGGCCAGGTATTCTCACCCCTCTGGGCCCAGCCCTGTCCAGACAAGCCCTCTTGGAGTCAAACACTCGGAATCTTTGCACAATCCACGGGAGCTTCTCTCGTTGTTATCTTGGGGCTCTTGCCTTCACTGTTCCCACTTCTTTTGGCCAGTATCCAGGAGGACTAAGTTCCTCAGGACCTTCCTTTCCTGTCCTTTTTCCACAACTAAGCTGGGAAGGGAGGGCCTAATTAGCACTCTCATGTCCTCTGGGGGAGGGGAAGACATCCTAGTTGGCACTTGAGGCGGTCCCTGGCACCACTGCAGGCTGGGTTTAGTTTCTTCCCTGGCATATAAACTGTGTGGCTTACACAAGGTACCTGCATACCAGTCAGTACCCCTTCCGAACCCAGGACTGGGGTAGTTCTTACAGAAGAAGGCTGGATCTGTTAGGGGTCATGTTCCCCAGAGCTTTGGCCCCTGGGGTGCTATGATGTATTAGGCCTTGGGGGATGCAAAATGGTACAAACACTGCAGAAAGCGGCCTGGCAGTTCTTCAAAAAAGTTAAACATAGAACTACCTTATGACCTATCAACGCAGCTCTTGGGTATGTCCCCAAGAGACTTGGAAGCAGGAATGCAAGCAGATTTAGTTGGACACCAATTTTCACTGCAGCAGATTAACACTATTTGGCTGTTGTGAATAGGTGGAAATTACCCAAATCGTCATCAGCAGATGAATGGGTGAATATAATGTGGCCTAGTCATACAATGAAATATTATTCGGCCATAAAGCAAAATGAAGTTGTGACACACTCTATGTCGCAGGTGGAACCTTGAAAACATTATGCTGAATGAAAACTTACTGCTGTCGAGTTAGAATAGACTCATAAATTACACTCCAGCAGGTTTTCTGAAGCTGTAGGTCGCACGGGAGGAAAGCGTCCATCTTTCTCTGCAAGTAGAGTTGAACCACCAGAGAGGCTGGGCCTTGGGGTTTGCAATGCAACCGACTCTGTCAGGGCTCCCTACACTGAATGAGGCTCATCATGAAAAGTCTATCATTCTACTTAGGTGAAACAGCCAGGAGAGGCAAAGGTAGAGAGATCAGGGCTTAATAATGGGCCACCGGGGGGGTGGAAGAGACATGGAGTCTCTGTTTAGGTTGTTGTGTATCACTGAGTGGAAACTGACCCATAGCTTACCCTCTAGGAGGAGAGAATAACAAGGATACCCTGTGTAGGCTGTTGCTGTGTTCCACTGAGTGGAAACTGACCCATAGCTGACTCTCTCGTGGGTTTTAAGTGACAGTTAATCACATGGGAGGAGATTTCAGAAGCAGATAATTTCCCAGGAGCAGCTGGTGGACTCAAACCGAGTGCCTTAGGGATTGCAGTGCAGCTTTTTGACCACTAGGCCACCAGAGCTTTCAGAGTTAGGAGAAGTTTCAAGTCTACCAGCTGCTCTGCAGGAGGCTGAGCAGTCTCCTCCCAGGAGATTAACTGTCTGATTAGCTTCTGAAAACGCACCAGAGGGTCAGCTATGGGTTGGTTCCACCTCTACGGTACACAACAACAACAATTATAGATGGTTATTCATGCAATATGGTTGAAATAATGGATGTTACTAAACTGTACATGTGAAATACTGTAAATTGGCAAATGTATTATATAGATATTTTTACAATAATAATAATAATAAAAACCCAACAACCACAAACCTAACATCGTGGGCCCAGGTCTTTCCTGTTGCAGGTGCCCTTGGAAAGTGGTCAGTGTCACACCCTGGATGGCTCAGGGGACGAGTCTGCAGACTCTTAAAAGATATTAGTCTTTGATTTGGAGGAAGAGCCTTTGAATTGAACTGAGGATGCAAAGTGCTGGTAATGGGGGTAGGCCTGGGTGCCTTATCTGGCCAGAGGACTGGATGGTGAGCCCTTCCATTTGTCCTCCCAGGCACCAAGCCCTCAACCTCCTTTCTGGGTAGAGCCCTAACCTGTCCCTATGGTATGAGATCCCTGGATGAGTCCTTCTGGTCAGACTGGAGCAGGTGGCATGGGAAGCCTGACTGTCCGGTCCTGGCCCCTCTCCCCCAAGAACTTGGAGACTGTATTCTTCCATTTGCTTCCTCTCTTACAGCCTCAATGCTGTGAGTACCTCCTGCTACCCTCCACTTCAGAGACCCCACTGCTACCCTCCCCAAGATCTCCACATTCAGGACTAAGAAAGCTAAAGCTGTCCTGCCCAGCTGTGGGTACCCCCAGCTTGTCTCATCTGGAGTTCTGCTGGCTTGTGGCTTTGCTTCCTGAGGTTGCCTCTCCTTTGTTTTTGTGACCATCTCATTCCCAGGCCTCCCCAAACACCTACCCAGGGGGTAGAATCTAGTAGTATCAACAACCCTCCTAGGGAGAGGCAGGACTTTTGCAGCAAGGGAAACTCCCTCCGAAACATTTATTCATTAGGTTTCTGCTTGCAGAGAGGGGCCCCTTTCAGTACCCCAGATATAGGCGGGACAATGCTCTGTCCAACTCGCCATCACCAGTCCAAAGACCAGCAGACTTCCCAAACTGCACATACAGAGGCCACGTGGTGTAGGTCTGTAAATGACACCTCTGTGCTCAGTTTCCTCTTCTGTAAACTTGAGGGAATAGTACCTACTTCATAGTTATAGGGATTGAACGAGCTATGTCAGGTAAGGTGTTTAGAACAGATAGTCTAGCACAGAGCAAGTGCTCACGCTTGCTGCGTCTGCCCTGTCCCATTTCCAAGGGTTAAGACACGAGCTTGGCGGCTGTGACCAGCTCAGAGGTGAGGCAGCCATGGGAACCTCCAGCCTTTGAGGTGCCTGACGGTTTCCCAGTGTTCTAAGTGGGCAAAATGTGGGTGATCCTATGGGTCAGAGGCCTGCAGAACAGGATGCAAATCCCAAGTATCCTAAAAATTATCCAACAGGAGCCCCAGCTCAGTGTGTAGTAGAGGCGCCAGACATCTATTTCTACCTGCTTTGGCCACCAGATTGGGATGCTTCCACCAGATCCAATATCTGACTCCTGTGGTCCCACATACACTGTCGCCATACTCATCACTGGTGGAGGCTGGTAAGGAAGATGCCTCCAGCAGACACTGCACAATCCTTCGCGATGGCAGTTCTGCTGCTTATCTAGCCTACAGGGCCTTGCTGCAGGAAGCTCTGAGTCTACATAGGGGACTGACCTCCTGGGCAGCCTCCTGCTGATCAAATGAGTCCATCAATCCTGTATGATGGATATCGTTGTCACCACCATTTTAAGGACAACCGACAGAGTCAGGGAAAGGTCAGATACCTATTCAAGGTCATACAGCCAGAATGTGGCTGGGTCCAAGGCCAAGCCTTAACTTGCTAGACACTGAAGTCCTTGGTTCTCAAACCCTGCTGGTAAGTTTGGAACAAGGCATCTTTTACACCTAGAGCTGATTGTCTTTCTATGCCTAACCGTGCAGGCAAGACCTGATGTCCCCACATTACAGACAGGAACATCCAGGCTCTGCCAAATGGGCTTGCCCAGAGAGCAGCCCAGAGTGGCTGCCTGGGTCTGGTCCAGGATGTATTCGATGGTCCTGGGACAGAGAGGGGTCACTAGGATTGCATGGTGGATATCAGGTCTCCAAATGCAGAAGAGAAGGGATTGAGTGCATAGGAAGAGTGCCCCTAGTCTCTAGAATTATGTGCACGGATCCACCAGACCTCAGGCTGGGCATCCTTTCTGGTTGTCACTATCCCCAGCTGGAAAGTTTCTGCACACAAACGCTTATCCGTAGCCTTTGAGATGAGGCTTCTTGCCTCCACAATCAGCGCCCAGAACCTGAGCCCTCCATCCCGGGGCAGACTGCTGGTGTGACTGGTTCCCACCCAGCGACCCCAGCCTGGTCGAAGGCTACCAGCAAGGAACGGCTTGAGGGCGGGGCTAGGGTGTGACATCACGGCCACGGGCCAATGAGGTCGCGTGGCCCCAAGGCTCGATTGCGCAACAAAGAGAACCCAGAACTTGAAAGGATTCCCCGGGCTCGGGCTCTGCCCGCCAACCCGGCGCGGCCCTGCACCCCAGGCTGTGCTCCACCCACTGGCTGTCCACTGGTCCCTTTTGCGGCCTGGGCTGGGTCAGCGCGGAGCCCCTGCGTCCCTGGCACGCCCCCTGCCACCACGCCGGCCCCCATCTCTGGAGTCCCAGCCGCCAACACCGATCTCCTCCCCAAACCCAACCAGCGCTGTCCGCCCTGGTCCTCGGGGGGGGGGGAAGGGGCCTTCATAGTCCTGTCCAGCATCGAGGGTGCGTCCAGGCGACGATGGGTAGAAAGGATGCTGGCCAACCGCCGTTCTGGCACTCTGGGGCTGAGCTGGGAAAGGGTCGGCAGGAATCCCTCCTGTCACCCCCAACGCATTCTCTTTTGGGGCGAAGCTGCCAAGCCGAGAGGCGGGCAGGACAGAAAGAGAGCCAATCCCGAAGGAAGTTAGCCCTCAGGTCCCCAAGTTGGGGGCTTTTGCAGCTCAGGTGGGGCTAGCGCGCTTCCAGGCAGCCCCCTTCCACCGGGGCCTCCCACCCACTACTGTCCCGGGCTGGGCGGCGCCGCTTACCCTGCAGTCGGGCGCCCAGTGCTCCAGCGCGCGTCTCCCGTCTCCAGCTCCGGCTGCGGTGCCGGCGCCCTCGGGCCGAGCGTGAGCCACCGTGGGCCGCGGAAGTGGCCGGTGGCCGAGCGGCCCGTGGGCCGGGACATGGTGGCGGCGGTCCCACTGGCCAGAGCTTGC